AAGTTTTGCTATTAAGCTTAATTATTGAAAAAATCTAGAAATTATAAGAAATTAGAAATACTTCATTATTTGTTGGGAGTTTTCAGTGCTAGCTTTAAGCTTAACTATTGATAAAATCTAAAGCTTTTTAAGCTTAACTGTTGAAGACAAACGATAGCTTTTCTGACTATTGAAGTTTTTTTTACCTGTAGCTTAGATCAAATGGATGACTATTAAATCCCTCAAATATGCACTCTATTCCAATTAACATATTTCCACTTCTTTTTATGATTTATGTACTTATAAAACGAGAATGTGATCAGGTTATGGTCGGCCCTTTCCGGTTGAGTTTCATGTTGACCCACTTGCGGCACTTTCTTGCAACATTTTTTTTTTTTGCTTTTAGCCTGAAAGGCAATCGATCAATGCGTCAAACCATTAAACTCATTTATAATCCTTTAAAAAAAGAAAATAGATGCAAGCAGAAATATTTTAATGAACCCATTGGCCGATGGCAGACTCCTTTCGACTCCGTTCGTCATTAGAAAGGTGGCCCGCAAGGCGGTGGCTGACCCCCAAACGAAGCCACATTGCCACATTGCCACATTCATTGCCACATCAAAGCACACACAAAACACACACATACACAAAATATGACCGTTAAGCTTTGAAGTTGGTGGATTCGATTGCCAATTGAGTAAACAAAGAGAGAAAGAGAGAAGGAGAAAAGCGGGCTGAGGGTGTGAGAGAGAAAGAGATGTAGTGAAAGCCATCAGGTTGCTGTCCAACCAACTGGCAGCCATTTCAGCCCATTTTGCACAGATGTTTAACGAGCCAGTCACGGTCATAAATCATCAAAAAAATAGATATATGTACACATATATAATTATATATCTATGCATATTTATCCTTCATTCGGTCAGCAGTTTGACTATCCTCGGGTGAAATTCACTGACATTGACAGTATTTCTAATAAGAAACTTGATAAGATTTATGTGCCAGCTGACTTCAATTTTAATTTAAAACTAATCAATAAAATGTTGCAACACATCCATGCAAAAAATTGCCAACAGATGCTGCAAAGTGCAATGTCACAGTAATTTACGTACCCCATTCTGCAGAAAAAAACTAGCAAACCTGATGAAAATTTATGCAAAGGGTTAAATGTCAGACGCGACAACATTTCGCACAGTGGAACGCAACTCATAATGCAAATGTCAATACAAAAATAAATAGGTTGTCAGATGTTCTTTGATTTTGACTAGAAATACGTAAGAACATCTACCTTAGATAATTCGCAGATTAAATCGCCGTGCAGACCGGAGTCTAACTGCCGAGATCTACATTTCAGTATACATTAAAAGATAACTGATCGATTGTTCATATGGCAGCTATATGATATAGTAGTTCGTTACTTATGATTTGTTGCACAAATTTTAGGATCATAATAAGACTAATAATTGGAGAGTTTGGTATGGATAATTTAATAACCAAACAAGTTTTTCAAACACGAACTCATACTTCGATTAAATAAAATTCGTCTACAAGGATTTCAAACAGATAAAAGTCAGGGAAAATTTTATGCTTTTAAAAACAATCAATTATCTGTTAAAATAAAAAAATATAGAAGAATACAGAAAGTTTATTTAAAATGTTTCTTAAATTATTCTTCATTTACAAATTGTAATACCTGATCAGCACCAATTTTATATAGATCACCTTTATTAAACTAATTGTTCAGTTTTGATTTGCATTTGCAAAAAAAATTAAAATATTTGACATATATTTGGCTTATCAGCCACTGTGCCACTTGTTGCAAGCATATTGTTCACTCTTTTTTTTGCCTAGCCTAACGTGCAAAAGTGAAAAGTCATGAATCATATATATGTACATACTACATCATGATCACAACGCACCTTTTTGCAAACCAAATGATGATGATGATGATGATGATTGTTGTTTGTAGCTTGCCAACCTGCCGCGATGCGGCAAGCATTCAAGCCAAGCGATCTATCTGACTCTGAGGCGTAGAATTCGAGTGGCTGTGGGCCATAAACTTACATTGCTTATCGCTGGAGAACTTTTAAAAAACACTTGAGATAGCGCTGTGAACGTGCAGCAAAGTCTCAGCACCAACAGGCCCCCACCTCCCACCCTCCACCTTCCTGCTTTGCCACCTCCACACACTCACACACACACACCCCACCCTCGCACTCTACACACACAGAGGTAGAATAAGACCTAAGTACACACACCGCAAGGCAGCGAAGGATACACTGAAAAAATATATTTGTGTGTAAATAATTAAAATATAATTTATTATATAATAAAGAAAAGAGAATAAAATAAAAATAAAATAAAGGAATTGATCTTTCCATGTCAGAATCGAATATTGTATTAGAAAACGATTTTACTCAGTATGTAGAACAGTTTGGGATTCAAATTATAGTTTTTTCTTTAAAAAAAAAGTAAAATAAAACCATAATCTTTGCCGGTGTCTTTATACTTTATGTGCAAATGCGGAATTGGAAACCAAATTCTTCTTGGTTTAATCACAAAAATGAATCGATCAATCGTTTAAATTTAACACCCTGATTTGCGAAATTTGGCATTAATCGAGTTTTTGGAGAAATAAATGCCTAAGCCAACATTTTTTATTAATTTGTAGAACACAACTTGGTACTTTTAGTGTTAAGTCTCTGTTTTTCGAGTGTAAGCACAGGAAAAAGAGAATGCGAAAGAGCGAGGGGAAGTGCGGAAAGTAGAGGGAGCTGTGTGGAGTGGAGCCGAGTGGAGTGGACTCAGTGGCATCAGTTTGGAGCTGGAGTTGGAGTTGGAGTGGTCGCTTGTTAGGTTGCTTGTATCTACAAATAGACTCTCCTCTCTGGCTGACGGCCGCAAGACAAAGTCAAACAAAAGACCAAACGGTAGTTGCCACGAATGGTTGCACCTCCTTCACCCTTTACCAAAAACCGGCTGCTCATCGAGTTGTTCCGTGCCCCAAAACAAAAACGTAGCTGCAACATTGTGGCTGAGGCAAAATCATCGTCAGACCTGGACCTAGCTCCGCAACTATTTATTGGCATGGGGCTGCATGGAGGTACCGCCCCAAGATCAGGCACCCAATAAAACGAGACGCACGCATAGCCAGACAGGCGGGCAGATGGACAGACAACTATTCAAATGCATTTTGTGTGTTCGATAAGCGCGTCGGCGATTTCCCACAACTGATATATTCGCATTTGAATTCGCAATTGCTCTTCCAATATTTATGGCTTGAACTTCAGTTTATTTGCCTTGCTTTTGGGTTCTCTTCTTGAATCTTGTATTGTGTTTGCATAGATAATGAAAATGGTCGGTCGGTCGGTGTATATGCCTTGAAAGTCGGCTGAAATTAATGGTTTTCATTTACAATTTCAACAGGAAAAGTAAAAGTTCAAAAGTATTCAATTTAACACTAAAACGGTACTTACATTTTTATAAATAAGTTTATGTTCCAGGGGTGTTTATAATTGAGAAATTGTCGGTTGAAATTAATGGTTTTCATTTGAAATTTTAGAAGGAAAGTTAAAATTTAAAATACTGATTTAATTACTTATAGAAGGTTATGTTTCTATTATAACATTTTAACAGTGTTATTTATTTATACGAAAATACACTGTGGAAATGTTAATGTTATTAAACATATCTAAAGTTCCTAACGACACAAAAACACCATCTCTCTTTAACCGTTTATAGTTTTCAAATCTTAAACCAACACTGAATATAACGAATATAATATAATTAATGTGAAAAACATATTTCCCATTGTGATTCGAATAAACTTGACGCTAATGTAAACTCCGATAAATTTTAATTAGAGTGTTATCGAATCTATTGAACTGTTAAAAAGCCGACCGCCCACAATCAATCGCATAATGCTCTGTCGCCGTGTTGGCAGTGAGAACAATTGACAATAATAGACCATAATCTGTATAATGTGTGTCGAGTTGTAGTTGGTTGTTATTGTTATTATTATTATTGTTGTTGAGTAGTACAGCGATAGACAGAACCTCAATTTAGATCCCACCGAAATGAGGTAATTCCTTTGACACAATCTTGATTAATGAGGGGCAGATATTGATTTGTAGTTCACTTATATTCTACGATTTCGAAAGTGAAAATCTGTGCTAGACGTTATTTTTTAATTGCATGATGTAAAATCAATTTTTTAATATTTTTTTTTTACAAGATAAGAACTATTTTAAGCATTATTGCTGATTAGATTTAAATGCACCGAGTTCAAATAATTACAAAGGGTTGTCGATTGAATGTGTGTGTGTCTGGTGGGGGGTCGCGGTAAGGGAAAATAGTTAACTTTTTTTTATTAGCATTATAAGATTATTTGCAAATTAGCATTAATTCTGCAGCGGAGACTTTTGAATTGTTATGGTATGCTATTATTGGAGATTTGTCATCACTTTGCTTTAATTCCTTCTTTGAGAGAGCAGAGCTTCGTCACAAAATGCAACTCTGCTCTTCCCGTTCTTTGTTAACCCTATTGCTGCTTATCAAATGTCTGCGTTTGTTTTTACCTATCGCTTAACCCTTGGGCAAGTGTGTTCTCTGCCTTCTGCTTATCTGTGTGTGGAGAACCTGCGAGAGCTCTCAGCACGAGGCAGTGGCAGCGGCAGTCTCGCATGCTTGCGTCATCAACTCAGCGCCAACTCAATCAGTCAAAACTCAATAAAGTACAAATACAAATACGAAGCGTGAATGAATATTTCCACACAAATTGAAAACGAAATGTGTGATAGCGAACTAACTGATAAGCGAGACAACGAGCACCGCATTTAGATCTCATATCAGCAGCTGTCATAAGAAGACCGAGCGAGAGAGTAAGCGTGAGCGTACTGAGAGAGCAGAGTTGTTTGGCAACCGGTAAGCGTCTCGTGTAGACTTTCTGTGTAGACTTGCGCTCCCAGCTGACTGCGTTGCTTCTTTGCTGCTGCCTGACACTTGTTTGGCTTTTAGCACTCAGTCACGAAGCGCGTCTCAAAGCTTATACGTCGTGAGTTATCCGACGTTGCAATGATCGCGACATAATTTTGGATACGGTTTCATTTACGACGATAAATGTGAAAATTGCTAACGAAAAAAATGTTCGCAAAATTAAACGAAATGTGAAATAATTCTTCTGACGAATTTAAAACGCTGAGGTGCAATCGATTTTACTGGTTATTTAAAGTTGTTTTTGTAAAAAGATTGTCAAAGTTTTGTGTGTAATAAAAAATTATGTGTAAATTACTCGAAATGAATTCCTTAATTAATAATCGCTATTTAAGTTCTTCTCAATTAAATTGTGTGTATGCCAATTAATAAATATTAAAAACGCATAATATTTAAACGAAAATTGCAAGTCATAAGAAGAATTCTTTCCTTATGCCAAAAACGAAAGACAATCGAAGAAAAAATTAAATAGAGATCGGGGCTGCAAAAAAAAAGTAAATCAAAAAACCTGGCCATAATCGATTGGCAACAACTGGAAAGGATACGCCAAGTTGCGCAGCTGCAACTGGAAGAAGATAGACATTGCAGACAGCACACAGAATACGGAATAAAGATACATGAGGCAAGCGAGAAAAGATACATGCCATGTTCCCACTAAACAACCGCTCCTCGAGTGGCAAAAGCACCAACAACAACAGCAACAACAACAACAGCAACAGCAGCAGCATCACTGGAATTGGAATCGACAACAACAACGTCCACGGGAAGGATAAAATAAATTTCCAAAATAATTGGAGCTGCAATAAAACAACCGGTCGACGCGCTGGAAGCGGTTATAGCTGCAGTTTCTTAGGTAAAATCTCTTGGCTAACATAAGCATAAATAACGGTTAAGTGTTTTTTCCCAACTTTATATATATATATTTAAAAGCAAGTGTAATTACAACTATAAGATCTCTAAAAGTGAACCAAATAAATATTGTGAGAACTTAATAATTATCGATTGCACACTATTTAAAGCGTTTAATCACTAAATTGATTTCAGCGGTAATTTTTTGGAAAGGTGATTCCCAGTAACATCTTTCCACTCTTAAATCATTGCTTTCCATTGTATTGGAATTACACTCAGTGCGCTGCTTTCCAGTAGTGCACAATTTTTTTTTTTTCGCTACATGAGATAATAAATAAATGCAACATTTTTTTTCCTTTGTTTTTGTCGCTGTTTTTTTTTTTCTCGGTTTTACATTAAAATGCAAATACTTTGCACTCATTTACATGTTACACCTCCCGTCTCCATTGCTGTTTGTTATTATTGCTCAGACAATGCAGCTCTGTTGTCATCGTCTGGAAGGGTTCTGCTAGCCTGGATGAGGGTAGAGGGCAGCAGGAAGTGTGTGTGTACCATGAGAAATGCCATAAAAATTCCAGCATTGGCGGCGTCTTCTCCAGCTCAGCGTTTGCGCTTGCGCAATACAAAAAGCTTCTTTTTTTATATGTATTTATTTGCGCTCCTTTCGTTGCGCATGCCAAAGTCTGCGCGCAGAGCAGCAGCAGAGAACGTGGAGAGCTTCCAGTGCTGGAGTGCTGGAGTTGTCGGTGTGCGCTTTTATTTGTGTTTGCTGTGTAGAATTCCCAGAAATGTATTATTTCGAAATTTGTTAACAAGCAGACACACACAGACACAACTATGAGGAGGATGAGGTTAAAAAGAAGTGTATCAAGTGTTTTTTATGTGCTGCGATTTCAAGTTGAAGGTTAAAGTTGAGTTTGATCTCCACTCGCCACTCTCCTTCCATAAAGTTAGAAAAATGTGTAGATCTAAGCATGTGAGTATGTGTGTGTGTGTGTAGTTGAGAGATTTGAATTCAGTTCGAGTGGCAAACAGAGAGATCCTTTGTCATTCAACTGGAAATGGGACAAAAGAAATAATTAAGAAATTTTGATGGGCCCTACACAGTATTCAATAACAAGACTCACAGATATCCTACTCAAAAAGGGATTTGCTATAAAAATGAAAACTAACCTTAAAAAAAAAAGTATTTAATGTGTAAAGGTTGTTGGAAAGTTCACAATTTCCAATATTAATTATCGATAACCATGAAGCTGATTGGCAAATTCGCCATCAGTTTAATTATAACTCCAATCGACAATCAATACAAACATATTTATTACTATTTTTAATTGCGAAAAAAAACTGACCAGACATAACAAGTCTAATAACAACAAAAACAAATATTGCCATATTTTTATTTATTTATTGTTGTTTTATTTCGAATTTGCATGCAGCTGTTGGAATTTGGAGACCTTGTCCCCGCCTGAAAGTGCTCACAATTTAGAAAGGAAGCGATTTATCTATCACTGCAACAAGCAAGAAGAAGACCAACTTCAACTTTGTGGCAATGAGTTAATAAAAAAACACCCTCAGGGCTCATTAGGTGCAGTGGCACAAGTGTGTGTGTATATTTCTGTCTGTGTGAATAAGATTTATAGGCAAACTTTAGCTGGAAGGCAGAGTGAGATAGAGAGAGACAGTATCTTTCGATTGGCTCTCTCTTTCTTGGATGGTTAATTGTGCGACTGCTCAGCGGGCAGCCGTGCCAAATGAGCGCTTAAAGTGTCGGCGTTGCAGCCTGCGCATGCGAACAGCATGCAAAATAAATACAAAACAAGTTGGCAGCTCCATTAGCTGTTGTTGCTTCTTCTTCTTCTACTTCGTCAACGATGGCAAATCGCATTCGATTTGTTTGCCGCATTCGCAATGACATTTTGAATTATTTGCCACTTCTTCTTCTCCGTTGCGCAGCTCCTATTTGCTATCTCTTTCTAGTGTGCAGTTAATTTACTCATTATTTTGAAATCAACGTTGAGTTGTTGAGTAGCCTGCCAGGCAAAAGCATGTTGCAGAACTTACAATTTATTGACTCTCTCTCTCTCTCTCTATATATATTTATCTGTTGCACAACTGTCCTGCCCGTTAAGGAACTGGAAGTTGATTAAGTGCCCGCCACTCTTTTTGTCATTAGCGACTGAATATTATTCATGTCGAAGTTTCGGCTCGTCTTTAATTAAGCCAATCAATAATTGTGAGCAATCTTTAATTGGCTTCGTTTTTGTTCTTTACAAAAATCGAAAAAATGGAGCACAGCTTAAAGAAATATGAATACTCTTAAGTTGCTTGCACTTTCAGCTATTATATCTCATATTATATTCAGCTTTAAATCTTTTCTTATTCATTTCAAAATTGGTATGAATGCTCTTAAGTATCCTGAACTTTATAGTTTTAAATTTTCTCGTAATAATTTTATAGCACACAAATTTATTTGAATAGTTTTTGACCTCCAAAAACAAAGTATTGACTTGAGCTGTCGATAAACATTTGAAAAACATAAAAACAATAAAATACAAAAACTTATTAACTTTTTGCACATTTATTTGAGTGGCAAATTGGAAACGGCAGCTGCGTAACACTTTTTTGTAGTAGTAAACTCGTCGGCCAAAGATAAAACAAAGAAGACAAAAAATGGTAAAATAAAAAAAAGCAATCAGCATTCATATCTCATCACAAGTTGTCCGCTAGTTGATTGTTGTCAATGTTGTAGGCGTCACTTGTCGGTAGCGCCAAACTTGTCCAATAAGACAACGACAACTTGTTGAGGAGCACACGTGCAACGTTAACAAAAAACAGAAAACAGCTAACAACAATGTCAAAATCAATTTAGAAACTTTAGTCAGCTGACAGATACCCTCCCAAAACATATTTTTCAAAAACCTAATGGTAATCTAGAAGGTCCTTTAAGGTCGAGCTGGTTTTAAAAATCTTGAAATTAGTTTTTTTATATTTTTATATTCCTCAACAAAAACAATGAGATCAAATATTTTGTACAGCTTAAATATACATACACTTAAATCTAGATGACCAAACACAACCAGATTGAAAAGTTTTATTCCTATAAGACAGAGCTAATTTTAAAAGTGTAGAATTTTATTTATAGATCTTATATTTAACAACAATTTCAATGTATATATATTTATGTATTTATTTAATTTATTTTTGTATAAAATCCGGGGTTTCTAGTCATAAATTGACCTCTAGAACAAAACTATATTTAAATGCTTGGCCAATTTTGACCCGAAATTTATTTAGAAATGCTTGTAAAAAGTCTTGCTTGAAATCTAGATGACACAAACAAAAAAAAAAACAAGGAAAAGAAACACAACCCCATTGATATTCGTCATGTGTTTCAGCATGTGTGAAAAGTTATCGCGATTTGTTGAATGAAACCGTTGAGCGAATTCATGCGATTTAATAGGCAATGTTAAAATGTTTTTGGCTTGCTATTGAAAGCGTATTCAGCATATGGTCTCAATATGGATTTAAGAGTTTCACAATACACAGCAATTAATTTTGAATATGGGAGCTTGAGAACTCTGCAACCATTTATGAAATGAGTGTTAAACATCTAAATTACAATAATTGCTCACATTTTTAAACAGTAAATAATTTCGTTGTACTTCGTAATTGTAAATAATTTCGTTACTTAGAAAGAAATTTATCAGCGACATTTTTGATGACGTAATTCCGGGGCATTACCAAATTTTCAACTAGTTATACTTAGTATGACAGCTATATCTATTTTCCAGTCATATTAAACACTTTTATGTGTAAATTAATAATAATTTATTAATAATTAATAATATCATTTAGCTATTACACTGAAAAGTGAAATTAATTGCCATTATTAAGAGTTCACTTTTATCATGTATTTATGTATAAATGCATGTACATCTGTAAATATACATATGTATGCTTAACCAGAGTGGCCTTTAGTCAACTTTTTGCATGGCTCATTCATTTGGCATGCCTAAAGGTAAGAGTCTCGATAAGATAATGCCACATACATTTTCACACGTAAGAAAACCGTTGCCTGGTTTAGTTGAAATCGCACCTTTTGACCATACACTGCGAGAAACCACACACTCACTACAATGAAGAATATATTTTGTTATTATATATTTATTTATTTGTTGATATCTGATTTGACATCGATTCTTAAGTTTTTAAGTTTACAACATTTCATTTGAGCTGAAAATTCCTAATTCAACATTTTCAATTCTGGCATGAATAATTATTGCTTCAAGTTTCGGAATTTAGTTTTTGGAATGCATTTTTGTGCTCAGTGTACAAAAATATGTGTTCAAATTTTAAGGGCGGCGCCAAGCGATTGTCGCGCTTTTTATATAGTCTTGCCGAAGTTATTATAATTTTGTCGTGACCTTTGTAACGCATAGAAGGAGGTGTCTTCGAGCTGATAAGGTATATATATTCTTGATCAGCATGAACAGTCGTGACGATATATCCATGTCAGATGGAAGGTTATCATGATGAAACGTGGGGTATATTCGTCTTTTGCTAGAGGCAGTATATATGCCGGATCTGATCGGCCTGGATTACTATATCACAACTTATCAATTATCAGTCTTAAGCATGGGACTACTAATTTTGATGATTTGTCGTTATTTTTATTTATGATCATATTGGAGTGCGTTCTGCAAGGGTATCTAATCTTCGGCGAAACTAAGAAACAGACGTTCTTACTCGTTTTTGTTGCTGTCAATATTTGCTGATAATTAATAAGGGTAATTGGCTTTGCTTGTTGTCGCCTCGCTTTGCTATCTGAAAAAAGTTTACTTTTCAAATTGTCGCGATTCCAAAAAAAAGAAGAAACTATTGCAAAATATGAAGAAGAAGAAATAGTACCACAAACGCTTCAATTGAGGAAGTAAAACATTGTTTTTAATTTTTATCGAGTCTGGTCTAGTGCAAATATGAATTTGCCAAATTTGCTTATGCCAA